GCTTCGCCACGCTACTGGAAGGTACATCTCTCGAGCTGAGGACTGTCGGACCCTGTCACCTGGCTGACTGTTGGTGACCTGCTTGCTGTTTGCTGCCTGTGGCCGGATAGCCTGAATTCCTCCATGGAGGACTACCCCGCGGCTCTCAAGACTTGAAGGACTGCCGGTGTACTAGCTGTCTCATGGAAGTGAGTTGCACTGAGCCATTTGTAGTGCTTTATAGATTAGTTAACTGTTTATATCTTTTGTATATATCTACATAAATATATACAAAATTATTAGTGTCCTGGTTTTGTTTCTCTAGAGAACCCTGTTTAACACAGCAATTGATTCAAAATCCAAAATTGCAAGGAACAAAAAACATTTTTCACTTGGAATTCCATTTTAACCGACTGGCATCAGCTATTTAGAGCAACTCTGCTGAGAAGGATTCTGGGGCTGGGTCCAGACCAAGAATGAAAACCATTGGGATTGGTCAGTAAAGTTAGCTGCCGTGTGAGAGGGGAGGGAGCAACAGCGGAGACACATACTGGTATTTGCTATCATTTGTTTTCTAATATGAAGCATCCAAAACTTTTATAAAGGGTTTTGCTACATAATTGTGGAATGAATTGTGAAATTCTTCTTAAAAGTTAAATGGTTTAGTCACATATACAAGTGCTTTTCTAACATGTTGCATTTGCGTCTTAAGAATCTACGGAAACGTTTGGGTTCTTACCTGAGCCTCGTCCACATCCACATTAGCAAACATTACGTTTTGGTATTGCAGAGACATTGCCTCCAAAATAAAAGCATAAAAATTCTCGGTTACCTTGAGGTCAACACTAAATAATGCCTTTTGGCAAAATCAGAAAAAGGTCACATTTGCTACTTTTAAAATGACTAAATTTGAATAGAATCAATTTGAATATAGTTTCATTTTAAGGATCAACATTGTGTGATTTAATAAGTGCAGGTAGGATTGAGATTGATTCATATAGATTCAGAGCTTAAGTTTTAAAAGCTGACATATTAGTTGGCTTGTTGATAGAAGAATTCTGATCAAGAAGGCAGCATATGAGTAGAATGTCATATTCTCATGTAATCCAATCTTTCTGGACCCATGAAGGTTGGCTGAAACTCCAAATGATTGCCCTTCTATCCTCTTTAAAACTTTAAGCAGAAATATCCCCCTAAAATCTTCTTTAAGCCAAATGATAGTTTAGCTTAATTAGCATAGAATGTCTGTCTTGACCATTGTCTTATTTTCCAAATCAATCAGTGTGGGATCAAATTCACAAAGCAGTTGTAAAGGTTAGATGGAAAGCTTAGTGGAAGGAGCTCTCCTGGTGGTGCAGTGAGTTAAGCAGCACACTTTCTGTCAAGAAAGGAAGGAAATTCTGAAAAGAAAGATAAGAAAAATTGCACAACTCAAAGAACGTAGCCAATGTCACTGAACTGACATGTAGAAATAGTCAAATTGCTGTATGTGCTGCTATGCATATTTTAACAACAACAACCAAAAATAGTGATATTTTTAAAGGTGAAAATTTAGAAACTTCAGTGAAAATAAACCAGAGTATTTTCAGTTAGGTCAAGAAATCAAAACCATTTTAGATTTGAAGTAATAGATCTTAAAAAATTGACATACGTGTAAAATAAGAATAAAAAGAAAATATCCAGAGATTATTTTTAGAGTCTGTTAGGCTCCAAACAGAAAAATTTAAAACAAATTTATGAGGTTATAGAAAGAATTAGCTAGATAAAGCTCCGGTAGTGATGAAAAAGATCATTTAAAGACTATAAAGACATAAGCCAATGTGCATATAAGATCTTAATATAAACTGGAAAATCACATAGAATATTTTACTGTGATATTTTAAATGGAACAAGGGCAAGAAAGGCATATGTTAGACACTGGGCTGGTTCTGGGAAGGAGGTTCGAGGAGTGCTGCTGTTAGGTTCTGACTGACAGTGACGCTACAGAAGGAAACATTCACTGCATGGTCACGGTCATGTGCCATCCTCAAAGTCAATGCTATGTGTGAACTCACTGCTGTGGTCGCTGTGTCAGTCCATCTTGTTGAGAGTCGTTCTCCTTTTCCTTGACCTTCTGCTTTACCAAGCATGATGTCATGTCCTTCTTTAGGGCCTGGTTCCTCCTAATATTAGGTCCCAACTCCTTCAGACTAAAGCTCACCATCCTGACATCCAAGTGTATTTCTTCCAAGACAGATTTGTCTCTTCGTCTGGGGGTCCATGGCATATTCAATGTTCCTTGCCAACACCGTAATTCAAATGCATCAATTCTTTGTGGTCTTCCACTTTAAGGAGCTCTTTTGCAACAAATTTGTCCAATGCAATACATTATCTAATTTCTTAACTGTGTAGATCTAACTAAAGAAATCCATGACAAATTCAATATTTTCTTCATTGATCATAATGTTTATTGATCCAGTTGGGAGGGGCTTTCGTTTTCTTTTTGATAAGTTGTAATCTGTTTCCATCAGTTCTCTTCCCTTTTAGAAAGTTGTGTCATCTGCATATTGTAGGTTGGCAATGAGTCTTCTTCCAATCCCGATGCCACATTTTTCTTCAAATAGACCAGTTTCTCAGATTTGTGGAGCCTACGGATGAAAGGATTCAACCGTGACCCACATCTTGTCCAGTTTTAACCCATGCAGTATCCTTCTGTTCCATTCCAGTGGTTGCGGCTTGGTCTAGTGTTGTGTGTTGAAAGTCAATGTCGCCTGGCTTTTCTTCCCCAGACAAAAGCTAGCAAGTTTCTCCTGAGCGGTTTGTCACACCGAGGGAGCCGCACACATAAGACTGGAAGACAAAGACAGTGCGACAGACAAAACAGCCATCGGAGCAAAGATGTAGTAAGCACAGAAAGCTTCCATCACTAAGCGGGTTACCTCACGATTTGTGAGGAAGCTGAGGACGCCATTGAACTTTAGCTGGTCAGGTGACAGGACTTCAGCGGCTTGTCTCAGCCCCAAGCCTACTTTCCTATTGGTCATTATTCTTGTATTCTGATTGGTCCGTATTCCAGCATTTGAGTCATGACCTGTGGAATGGACCGTGTGAGGCAATTTGGGATGGTCGATCAGATCTCTAGCTGACCCTAACAGGACCAGTGGAGTGGATCTGGTGAGGTCGGGTTGGGATGGGTCACTTGCATGTGACCAGTGGAGTGGACCATAGGGATGGGTCATTCAGCCCTCATAGGTCATCCAGGCCTCTAGCTGACCCTGACAGCACAGCACAGCACATGATCCACATGAGAACAATGAAGTGTTTGGGAATTCTTAGTCTTTGCGAAGTCATCCATAATTTGATCCACACAGTTTAATGCCTTTGCTTAGTCAATAAAACAAAGGTAAACATGTTCCTGGTTTCCTTTTCAGCCAACACCCACCTGTTAACAACTGATACCCCTTACTGCACCTGCTCTTCTGACTCTACCGTGAATTTCTGGCAGCTCCCTGTTGATGTACTGCTGCAACCATTTAAAAATTATCTTTAGTACAATTTTACTTGCATGTGATATTAGTAATATTGTTCCCTAGTCTCCACATTTTATTAGATCACATTTCTTTGGAATGGGCATGTACAAGAATCTCTTCCAGTTGGCTAGCTAGGTAACAACTCTCTTCCAACGTTTCTGGAATAGAAGAGGGAGGGCTTCCTGCATTGCATCTGCTTACTGAAACATCTCCATGGACATTACATCAGTTTCTGAAACCTGAATATTTGGCAATGCCTTCAGTGAAGCAGGGAGCTCTGGTGGTGTAGTGGTTATACATTGGGCTGCTAACGGAATGGTCTGCAGTTGGAAACCACCAGCTGCTCCCAAGGAGAACAAAGGGGCTCTCTACTCCTGTAAAGAGTGACAGTCTCAGAGATCCCAAGGGGGCAGTTCTTCTCATAGGCTTTTTATGAGTTGGAATTGACTTCATCTCAGTGGGCTTAGTTTTTTTGTTCAGTGCAGCTTAGACTTCCTTCTTCAGTCTTCATGCTTCTTGATCATATACTAACTCCTGAAATGGTTGATTGTCAGCCAATTCCTTTGCTATAGTAAAGGATTAGGGCAGTTTAATTAGAATAAATATTGTAGTGATGTTTAACTAAAAATATTTACCTGAGATATTCAAATATTTGGAAGTTTTGAATTTTTGAACTCTGTCAAATATCAGTTTTCTCCTATGAATAATCCATTGAAAAAAAAGAGCTGAATTCTTGATGTTCTTTGCAGAAGTAACCATAGAAAAGTAGCATCAATTTTCTCGTGTATATACAAGATATCTAATTAGATCTTAATACATTAGCTTCATAAGAACCCTAGTGGCCTAGTGGTTATGCGTTGGACTGCAATTTGCAAGGTCAGCAGTTCGAAACCACCAACCATGCCTCAGGAGAAAGGCAGGACTTTCTATTACTGTAAAGAGTTAGTCTCAGAAACCCACAAGGGCAGTCTTCCCCTGTTCTGTAGGTTCACTATGAGCCGGTATCGACCCAATCACAGTGAGTTTGATTTTGGTTTTTATTAGTATCAATTAGTAGAATGCGTTAAATAAAACAAGAAACGTGCTTTACAATTGTCAAACTTAGAAATATTAGGCATAATATTTGAGAACTTTAAATTCCATTTATAAATGTGGGGTAGATGTTGATCATACTTACTTGAATAAGAGGATGCATAACCTTGCAGGGACCACACCATTTTGCTGAAAACTTAACCACCACAAGTTTTCGTCCCGCTGCTTCCAAAAATGCCTGCAGTTCTTCCTGAAACCGGAACATAACCGTGGAAATGTACAAAACCACTGAATCTCATAACGTTTTGACGAGGATAAAATGACAGGCCAGTTTCCAGATGTTTTAACCAGTTCCAACCCCATTGTTCATCAGATGACACTATCTTTGTTAAATGTCCGAGATCAATTAAATTGATCTTGGTCAAGACATCTGTTGCTATTTTGTGTGGTCAAGTGGACCCTGACTCACAGTGACCCCATAGGAGAGTGTAGAACTACTCCATAGGGTTTACGAGGCTGTACATCTCTATGGTAGCAGACTGTTCCAGCTGTCTCCTGCAGACTGCCTGGTAAATTCAAACCACACACCTATTGGTTAACAATTGAATGCTTAACCACTGTACTACCAGGGCTCCTTGTGTTTATGATGTAGTCCTGGCGGTTTCAACTCATTGCTACCCTATGCACAGTCGAATAAAACACTGCCTGGTTTTGTGCCATCCTCACGATTGCTATGCTTGAGCTCAGTATTGTCGCCAAGGTGATAATCCATGAAGTTCAGGGTCTTCCTCTTTTTCGTGACCCTTTACTTCACCAAGCACGATGCTCTTTTTAAGGGGTTGACTCCTCCTGATAACATGCCCGGCCGTTTTTGTTTTTAGAGAGCAGTCTGGCCATACTTCTTTTAACAAAGATTTGTTTGCTCTTCTGGTCCGCTGTGTTCTTTCATTATTCTTTACCAACACCGTCATTCAAATGCATCAACATTTCCTATTCATTTCATTGTCCAGCTGTCACATGCCTAGAAGGTCATTAAAATATCACGGCGTGGGTCCCATGCACCGTAGTCGGTCTTCCAGGTGACAGTTTTGCACTTTAACACTCTAAGGACGTCTTCCTCAGTGGATTTGCCCTTGACTCCTGCGGCCATGCGTGTTGAATGTGGATCCAAGTACAATGAAATCTTCGACAGCGTCAGTCTTTTCTTTATCACAGTTATCGGTCCAGTTGGGAGGATTTTGGTTTTCTTTACACTGAGTTGTAGTCCACTCTGAAGGCTGCAGTATTAAAAAAAACGTCATCAGCAAATGCCTTAAATCCTCCTTGCTGTCAGCAAACAAGGTTGTGTCATCTGTATATCAACAGGTTGTAATGAATCTTCCTCCTAACCTGATGCTGAGTTTTGCTTCGTGTAGTCTAGCTTTGTGAATTATTTGCTCAGATTACAGATGGAACAATTATGGTGAAATAATACCACCTTAACTCACACCTTTGCTGATTTTAAACCAACCACGCAATGTCCTCATGTTCAAATGACTGTCTCTTGTTCCACGTGCAGGTTCCTCATGAACACAATGAACTGTTCTGGAATTCCCATTCTTCTCAATGTTTTCTGTAGTTTCTTGTTATCCACCCATTTGAGTGTCTTTGCATAGCAAATAAAGCCCAGGCACCTTTCTTGTACGATCCACCTGACATCAGCAATGATATCCCTTGTTCCGTGTCGTCTTCTGAATTCAGTTTGAATTTCTGGCAAAAAAGTGTCACCCCACGGAATGGAGAAATTATGAAATAATGTCTCTAGCATAGGGGAAACTCAGCTTTTAGAGAGATGCCAAGCTTCATTTCTAAGTTACGTTGCTTTCTTCTTTCAGTCTGGTCAGGGTTATATTTGTAATCTTATCTATGGCTGCGTTTGGGGATATGTCAAAGCTCTAAAACTTCTATTCATGGTGCTGTGAGACTCAGGCCCTCTACTCCTCCCTCTCTCTTTTAATGAGACTTGGCACCAGAAAGTCAGGATGCTAATGCCCACTTTATCCCTTAAATGGGAATGAATTATCCAATAAGTAAGGTAAATACCAGCTTACTAGTACATACTTACTAACCTGTAGTGAACAGTCTTGCATGAGTTTCACTACAGATGGGCTCAGTTGTGTGTATGAGCCTGTAGGAAACAATTTCACGTGGGTTACTCCACTGTGAAGCCCAAGTGAAATGGATCATTAGAGATCAGTAAGTAAGTGCAAGTAAGCCTGTCTTGACCTGACTTACCAGGTAGTCCTTCCTTGTCAGGGACTGTGAACTTGAATAGAGGCTTTAATTCTGTAGAAAGGTATGCTGGGGTTGAGAGAGACAGACAGGTGCCTGCCATACCCAGAAGCAGAGTCTTTGATGTGGTGAAAAAAAATCTGAAACTCTTCATTAGAGATTAGTCAGTTAGCACAAGCAAATCCACACTTGCTTATTAGCTGGAAAAACTGAAAACAACAGCAACACAAAACCCCATTGTCATTGACTCAATTCTGACTCTCAGTGATCCAAAAGACTGAATAGAACTTATCTATATGGTTTTTAAGGCTGTACATTTTCATGGCATCAGATCACCAGGTCTTTTCTCTTGGGAAGTCAATGGTCAGTTTGAATTGCCAAACCTTTTGATTAGCAGCCAAACACTTTACCCCTTTGTCGCCAGGGTTCCTTCCCCTTAAGGTGAGGACTTACCTTCTCTTTTAGAGGCAATTTTCTTTTTCACAATCCACGTAATGCAAATTTTGTACAAATACACTACAATGAGCATGTCATAAGAATGAATCATTAGCATAAGAAAGAACTAATTCTGAATTTGTAGATAACACACTTAGAAGGAAATCTGATTTAATAGAAGTATATGCATTTTGGAACTTAGATATTTACATTGACTTTTGATATTATAGCCTGTACATTCTGTTAATATTATTTAAGAATTTAGCTGGTGATTTAATTATTAGGAATAATTTAGAGGCAATTTTATTCTTTGTAAAATGAGGGGTTACCAGTAATATATATATACATTTGTTGGGATAATAAGATCAGGCAATGGGTAGAAAGCAGCTTTATAAAATATCTACTAAAGGAATTGCTAATATTATTGGCTAATCATTTTTTTCTACCCAAGTCTATAGGCATGCCTGGAGTTTCTGGGGTTTTTTTTAAACTTGGTGTGAAAAAGCCTGAATTCTTTCAACTCTAGAGGCTTCTCTGGGTACAGCTAAAGTATTACCCATGAGATTCGGTAGAGCACATTTTAGCAGGTGGCCTGGAACCAGGTAGAATCAGAGCTGGTAATAACAATCAGGGAGGAGTCAAGCCTCTGTGATCAATTTGTCCCTTGGCTACTGCTGTAGATGGTGCCATCCTCCAAGGACCAACATGAAGAAGAAAAATAGTTAAAGTACCCTTGCTGTAGAGCAACAAGGGATTACTGAATCAAGGAAATAATT